ATCCCCTCCCATTACAAGCCCAGAAGCCTAGGAGGAAAAAATGGTTTAGTAGGCCAGGCCCAGGGTCCCCCTGCTTGGTGCAGCCTAGGGACTTGGTGCCCTACAACCTGCTTCAGCTGTGGCTAAGAGGGGCCAATGTACATACACCTCAGGCTGTGCCTTCAAAGGGTGCAAGCCCCAAGCCTTGGTAGCTTCCACATGATGCTAAGCCTGTGGGTGCACAGAAGTCAAGAACTGAGGTTTGGGAAGTTCCACCTAGATTTCAGAGGATGCATGGAAACTCCTTTATGTCCAGATAGAAGTTTGCTGAAGGGGAAGGGATCCCATTGAGAACCTCTGCTAGGGCAGTGCAGAAGGGAAATGTAAGGTTGGAGCCCCCACATACAGTCCCAATTGGGGCACTGCCTAATGGAGCAGTGAGAAGAGGACCAATACAGACCCCAGAATGGTAGATCCACCAGCAGTTTTTATCATGCACCTGAAAAAGCCACAGAAACTCAATGCCAGCCCATGAAAGCTGACAGGAGGGAGATTATACCCTGAAAAGCCACAGGAATGGAGCTACCCAGGACCATGGGAACCCACCTGTTACATTAGTGTGACCTAGATATGAGACATGGAGTCAAAGGAGATCATTTTGGAGTTTAAGATTTGGGCGCCCACTGGATTTCAGACTTGCATGGAGCCTGTAGTCCCTTCGTTTTGGCCAATTTCTCTCTTTTGGAACAGGGGTATTCACCCAATACCTGTACCCCTCCATTTTATCTAGGAAATAACTAACTTGCTTTTGATTTTACAGTCTCATAGGGAGAGGGCACTTGCCTTGTCTCAGATAAGACTTTCGACTGTGGACTTTTGAGTTAATGCTGAAAAGAGTTAACACATTGGGGGACTGTTGGGAAGGAATGATTGGTTTTGAAATGTGAGGACATGAGATTTGGGAGGGGCCAGGGGCAGAGTGATATGATTTGGCTCTGTCTTCCAGCTCAAATATTACCTTGGATTGTGAGAATCCCCGTGTGTTGTGGGAGAGACCCAGTGGGAGGTAATTGAATCATCGGGGCAGGTTTTTCCCATGCTGTTCTCTTGATAGTAAATAAGTCTCACAAGATCTGATGGTTTTATAAAGAGGAATTAACTTGCACATGCCCCTTCCCTGCCTCCATGCAAGATGTGCCTTTGCTCTTCCTTCACTTTCCTCCGTAATTGTGAGGCCTCCCAGCTACATGGAACTGTGAGTCCATTTAAGCTTCTTCCTTTATAAATTATCCAGTATCAGGTATGTTTTTATTAATAGCATGAGAACTAATACAACACTAGAGTATATATTTGTCCTCTGTGTTGTTTCCAATCTTCATCTATTTCATACAATGGTGCAATTATCAATATGATCCGTACTATGTTGTGCATAAACAGATTTATTTGTGGGACAAATTCCCAGACACAGGATTACTGAGTTACAAGTGAATACCAAGCTGACCTCCATTGTGTGTTACATTTTTGGACTTCTAATGGCAGCGTATGACTATTCTTTAACCCTTTGCTTTATATTGATGAGAAGAATAAACATTTAATGAGGGCTTACTGTTTGGCAAACATTGTTCTAAGAGTTTGAAATGCCTCATTGCATTTTGTTGGTCCTATGATATGGGTCCTAAGATATGGTCCTATTATTTCTACTATAAACATTAGAAAAATGAGACACAGAAAAATAAATAACTTGAAAGATATCAAAAAATTGCAATGATTCAAACTCTGAGAGACTGATTTCAAACCCTGCATTTTTTGCTGTCACAGTCTGATGTTCCACTGAAGCTAGGCAGGTCACAGATGTCCTCTTTGTTTCCAAATCCAAACACTTTCAAGTCTTGTCTTCATCTTTTTTAACCTCCTAGCTACATTCAGTTCAAAAAGTATCTTTGAAGAACCATTTCTAAATTGCCCCTCATTATGGCTATTTTTTTAGGTCTTCAATAAAAGTGAAAGACAAGAAAAGAAACATGTCATTTCACAAATCATTTAGAAAGAAAATTGTCATGTAATACGTATTAGTTTAGAGTTGATAAAAAGACCCTCGAATGAAAGATTAAAGAGTCATCAAGAAATCTTATAAAATGTTCTACCATTTAATAATAATAGAAAAATTTTAAGTCCCTACTAAAGTTAAGGGTTGAAAAATTTGAAAATATACCATTTATCTGATTTATTTAATTAAAGGAAATATTCTAGCACATTCTTAAATATGTATACTTTGTTGTTTATATGATTAACTAAGAAATAATTCTTTGTAACAGTAAACTTTTTGTTCTGGCCTTGAGAATTCAAAGTAACAGGTAGGATAATAAATCACTATCACTGACTCTAATTTAATTTCAACAGATAAAAATGAATTTGTGAATAAACATAGCATTTATTGATACTTATCTTATTTGTACCATTAAATTATATTGGTAAATATAGAGACTGATAGTTCCATGATTGGGTGGAAGATAGGGGAAAGAATAACATCTAGTTATCAAACAAACAGTATGTTAAATCCTAATTAAAAAATAACTATAGTTTTTAAACAAATGTTTTTTTTTCTTCGTTTCGAAGAAGGCAAATGAACTCCTTCTGAAAGTGCACAATATCCCTTAACTAATTGCTGGGGGTGAATGATGTCTCAGTTCTACCCCTGCCTTTTTCTATATTTCAGCACTTTTGGTGCTGAAACCTGATACCGTTTGGATTTGTATTCCCATCCAAATCTCACATCTAATTGTAATCCCCAGTGTTAGAGGTGGGGCCTAGTGGAGGAGGTTGGATCATGGAGATGGTTCTTCATGAATGGGTTAGCACTATTTCCTGGTGCTGTTCTTATGGTAGCAAGTGAGTGAATTCATCTGAGATCTGGCTTTTAAAAATGCAGCACCTCCTGCCTCGCTCTCCTTTCTTCCTGCTGTGTCCTTGTGAAGTGTGAGCTTCCTCTTTACCTTCATCTGTTATTGTAAGTTTCCTGAGGCCTTCCCAGAAGCTGAGGAGATGCCAGCATCATACTTTCTGTACAGCCTATGGAACCATGAGCCAATTAAACCTCTTTTCTTTATAAATTACTCATTCTCAAGTATTTCTTTATAGCAGTGTGGGAACAGACTAATACACCCCCAGCAACTAATTAAGGGATATTTTGCAATTTCAGAAGGAGTTCATTTACCTTCTTTGAAACAAAGAAAAAATTGTTCAAAAACTATATTTGTTTTCTGATCGGCATTTAACATATTGTTTGTTTGATAACTAGATGTTATTCTTTCTTCTATTTTCTACCCAATCATGGAACTATCAGTCTCTCTATCTTTGTGAACGATTTTCCCTGAACTCTCTCATCAGTTGCCTTTCTGACGGGTTTGCCAACAGGAGTCACGGTAGGTAATTGTGATTTGGAGAGAGGGCAGAGCCGTGAGTTTTCTCCTGCATTCTGGCAGGTGCTTCTGGCATCTGAGTCCGCTGGCTTGTTGGACTTCTGTATTGTTGCTCACTCAGTGTGGCCCCAGAACAGTGGCTGTAGATGTTTGAGTAGGCCCTGGTGGCAGAGGCTCTAACAGTAGTGCTTGCAGTAAGAGGGAGCTCAGTAGCCCCACAGTTCTGGGTACTCCTATTTTCCTTTTCTTTCCTCTTGCCTTAGACATGGCAAAGACTCTCTGTGGATATTGATCTCTGGATGAACTTATCATTTCTTTGGCTCATGTAGCTCTTCTAACATCCTTTAAAAGAGTTTCTTATTTTAAATTCCCAGCGTTTGAAGTGCCTAGAGTTGTTTCTGTTATCCTGACTGAATGCTGACTGATGTATTATGGAATTTCTTCTCTGGTCCATGAACTAAAGCCTATTTTCTTTAAGATAATGATAGACACTAGTCAAGGCATCACATTTTTGTGGTAATGGAGATATTTATGGATATTTATGGACAAGCTAAGTCAGGTGACTCTAAAACTAGAGTGAAAAGAAGCAGAATGTCCTCACTATATTCTCATATGTATGACAGTGCTGCACTCCTGTCCATATATTCTTAGATTAAACCTTCAAATATTGGTAAAATATTTAATACAACACAATAATAGACATTTCTCCAAAGGTTACATACAAATGGCCAATAGGTATATGAAAAGATGCTCAACATCACTAATCATCATAGAAATGCAAATCAAAACTACAATACTATCTCACACCTGTCAAAATGACTATTTTATATAGAAAGAGATAAGGGTTAGTAAGAATGTGGAGAAATGGAAACTTTTGAATACTGTTGGTGGGAATGTAAAATGGTGCAGCTGCTATGGAAAGCAGTATGGAGGTTCCTCAAAAAATTAAAAGTAGAACCATTAATGTACATATTTTTAGTTTTTAGGGAATGAAAAGCTAATTAAGACATAAAATATCTGAAGATAAGATAATAAAACTGGTGACATATAAGTGGCAACTCAAAAAGAGTTTATTGTTTAAAATTTATTTTTATTTTTTAATTTATTTATTTTACTTTAGGTACATGCTCTATCTGGAATTTCTCCCCATGTTATTCCTCCCCACCCTCCCCTGCCTCCACACCCCCTGCTGTCTCTCCTCTACCCTACTCCGCAACTGCCCCCAGTGTGTGATGCTCCTCTCCCTGAGTCCACGTGTTCTTCTTGTTCAACACCCACCTATGAGTGAGAACATATGGTGTTTGGCTTTCTGTTCTTGTGTCAGTTTGCTGAGAATGATGGTTTCCATGTGTATATGTACCACATTTTCTTTGTCCAGTCTATCATTGATGGGCATTTGGGTTGGTTCCAGGTGTTTGCTATTGTACACAGGGCTGCAATGAACACAGTTGTGCATGTGTCTTTATAGTAGAACGATTTATAGTTCTTCTGGATATATACCCAGTAATGGGTTTGCTGGGTCAAACAGAATTTCTATGTCTAGCTCCTTGAGAAATCGCCACACTGTCTTCCACAATGGTTGAACCAATTTACACTCCCATCAACTGTGTAAGAGTATTCCTATTTTTCCACATCCTCTCCAGCATCTGTTATCTCCAGATTTTGTAATGATCACCATTCTAACTGGCGTGAGATGATATCTCGTGTGGTTTTGATTTGCATTTCTTTAATGACCAGTGATGATGAGCATTTTTTCATGTTTTTTGGTTTCTTATGTGTCTTCTTTTGAAAAGTGTCTGTTCACATGAAAGAGTTTATTTTTAAATGGATTATTTTCAAGGATAGTGCAGGAACCAGGTACTAATAATAACACCTCAACTGTTTACCACTCACAGACACAAAGAACTGACGCAAATAGTAGTTACTGGAACTAGAAGAGACCAGACTGTAGAGAGAATTGTATTGAATTTTTTTGAGAGGAGCAATGTTTTTGGTGAAGGAGCCTGCCAAGTCAAGACAGCCTGCCAGAAGGAGGACAAGGGAATAAATACCATAATCTCACTCTCCCCTTTTCCTCTGACCCTGGGGGGGCTTACAATTGGCTGAATCCAACCAGAACTCAGAAGGTATGGATGTCCTGTTGATGCAGTTGATTCAGGTTAGCCTCCTAAGGCACAGAGCATGGCAAGTGGAATGAAACCGTATGACAAGTAGAATGGAAGATACCCAGCACATGTATTATGTACAGCTACAACTTTCTTTTCAAGAGATTTCCTTTTGATCTAGTGGAGAAAAGAATTTCTAAAAGACAGACATGAGAAGAGAGACATAGGGTATTTATTTGAATGGAAGTGTGTATATATGTGTGAACTATCTATCATCTATCTATCTATCTATCTATCTATTGATCGATTAGATTACCATCTAGCCTGAAACTACTTAATGATTTCTTCATTTTAAGAAGTTTTCAGATATATAAGAAGGTTTGTAGAGAGAGAACAGTCATGTACTATCATGTACTATCATGTACTGTCAATAGAACAGTCATGTACTATTATGAAAAACAGATTGATTCCCTTAGATATTCTCCCCATTCATATTTCCTCCCTCCTGTGCAGAGGTAGCTGGCATTTGGAATCTGATGGTTATCATTCTCATTCATGTTTTTAGGATGTTACTACATATCTTTCCCTACCCAGAAAGTATATAGAACTATCCTGCATGTCTTAAACTTTATATAAATGGTATCACACTGCATGTACTATTTTGCAACTTGATTTTTTTCACTCAACATTTTTACTTTTCTGAGGATCTACTCAGGTTGATACATTTAGCTCTTTCTTTTTAATTCTCTTTTATTCTGTAGTATTCTATGATTTAGTGATGTAAGCATACTTATTTTTTTTTTTAACATTAGAATTCTGTGATTTTCAGAGGGAAACAACAGACACTGGGGCCTACTTGAGGGTAGAGGGCAGGAAAAATGAGAGGATCAGAAAAAATACCTACTGGGTACTATGCTTAGTACCTGGGTGATGAAATAATCTGTACACCAAACCCCAGTGACATGAATTTACCTATGTAACAAGCCTGCACATGTACTCCTGAATCAAAAATAGCAATTAAAGGAAAAAAACCCTCATGATTTTAAAAGCAGAATTCTTATTGTATCCATGCCTTTCTTTATATTAGTTAATTTCCTTGTCAAGTTGTATTCTTCAGTAGTGGAGATTAGAGAATCTCAATTTTTAAAAATTACTTCAGAAAAGAAGAAGCCCTAGGTAAATTTTATCTTCCACTATCCTTATATTTACTTCATACCTCAAATGTGTTAACCTAGTGCTTGGAAGGGAACCTGGCACAGTATAAGTGCTAAAGAAGTGTCATCACAGAGTCATGAAAGCACTAGGGTTAGGAGTACAGACTGGGGAGCCTGACTATCTGGGTTTGAATTTCAACTCTGCTGCTCAACAACTGTGTGACTTTGAATAAATTACTCAGCCTTTCTGTGCCTCAATTCCCCTCTTTATAAAATTGGGTATAATAATAATCCCTATATCATAGGTATTGTGTGTGTGTGTACATATATGTGTGTGTGTGTCTGTGTGTATATATATATCTCATAGAGTTGTTTTGAGGATTAAATGAATAAGTAAATAAAGTAGATGTAAAGAACATAGAACATACCCAGCAAGTAGTAAGCAGTTGTTGCTATTTCAGGTCCCGTGTGCTTGTTGCTCCAGACCTCATGCCTTCTGGACCCAGACATCTCTACAATCTCGGAACTGAAATACACCACTTCTTGTCAAGGTACTAGTGAACTGATAAGTAACTCCTTTTAGTGGTATTTCTTTGAAACACTCGTGCTGAATAACCTGAAATATTGCATGTTCTTCTCCCACCATACCCCCCACTGAGGGTAAGCACATCTTCCTGGCATGGCTTAAGGGGTACTAGACTTCTGTTTCCAATTGTGGCTAGGCTATCTGCATCCCTCCACCTTCTCTTGTAAGGACAACAACAACAAAAAAACCCTTTCAGATACATATTGTTTTTCTTTTTACAGAGTCTACACTTTCATTGAAAAGGCTGCTAGGCATATTTAAATATAAGTATTTCCTGTGAAACCACTATGAATGAAATATATCAGTAATGAAAATTATAAGAATAACTGCTATACTAAAATGCTGTTCTGTCTCTAAGGTTTGAAAATAATGTTGCAGTCTTTATGATTTATAAATATCTAAAAAGACCAACTAAAAACTGTTCCTTTCATAATGTTGCATATTAACAAAGTGCAGTTATATTTCAATATCCAGGGGGGATTTGTTTCAGTACTCTCCTCAGATACCAAAACCTGAAGATGCTCAAGTCTCTGATGTAAAATGCCCTATCATTTGCATATAACCTGCATACATTCTCTTGTATAATCCAAATCATCTCTGGATTATTTATAATATCTAATATAATGCAAATGCTATGTAAATAGTTATTACACTGTATTGTTCAGAAAATATCAACAAGAAGAAAGTCTGTTCTAGTTAGGACAAATGCAACTTTTTGGAATATTTGCGATCTATGGTTGGTTGATATATGGATGCAGAACCCATAGGTACAAAGAACTGATTGTTTTCTTTTGTACCACAAACATTATTGAGACTAGCGCTATTGCCAGGCATGATCTGTGAACTAGGATTCAATGATGGACATGACAAGGAAGCTCCTTGCTTTTATGGAGTTCATGTTCTGGTAGTGTTAAAATTTGAGTAGACTATATTTTAGGGTATTTGGACAACTAATTCTTTCGCATGTATAAAAGGGGAATCTTCCTAGTATTAAAGAATATATTATGAAGGACAACTGTCTGTTTAAGGACAAAGGGCAAAAAGAATGTTCAGAATCAAATTGGAAAGTCTGGTGTGGGTATAGCTAAAATATAAGATAGAAAATACTATGATAATATATGATAGCATATAAGCAAACTACAGCTTAGAATAATGAGCATTAATCAGATTTCACAAGAGGCATTAATAAGCTAATCAATAGTTCAGAAACAACACAACACAAGCTAGATCAAATTAGAGACTTTCAGGGCTGAGAATCAAGGAGACTCTAGGAAGTAATTACAGAAGAGCTCAGGACCTCTGAAATGTAGGAGAGAAATCTCAGATATCAGATATGATACGATATGGCCTTCCTCCCTGTGATCAGGAATAAAGCAGGCTGTCTCAGGATCAATATACTTGGAGAGAGGTATTTCTAAAATAATAAAATAGTCAGAAGTCCTGACTTACAGCTTGAGAGGATTTGCTTTTTTGTTGGGCTTTGCTTTATTGCAAAACAGAAAGGACAAGTAATTAAAGTAATTCAAATTCCTATTGAAAGTAATCATTATTAATGACAGAAATATCTTGTAATTCAAAGTTTTTCATATAAGAATTATTCAATAATTGTAGGGCTTGGAAGGATAATATATGGTTCTTTTTTCAATTGCCAATCAAGAAAAATATTCAGTCAAGTTGAATGAGCTTATAATAGGGCAGCTAAACTCTATTCGGCTCAAGAATAAATTCAATTTAGTTACAAAATTACCATATTTTTCATATATAAAGATGAAACTATTAAATCACCATAAGGTGGAAATATCTTTAAAACATTCCCCCAAAATGCCCCCTCAAAGGTAAGGTAATTAGGTTGATGCCCTACTCTCAATCGATAGTTAATAGTACTAGCTACCAAATATAAAACAGTGTGCAAGATATTGGCACATAGAGTCATAAGATGTAGTATGTGGTCTTGATCTTCATAGGAGTTAAAATCTTAAAGAAGGACATAAGTAAGAAAAGCAATATTAGTTGTAATAGAGTCAAGGTTCAGATTAAGGCCCTGGATTGGAGATCAGCTGCAGTGTCTATATACAAACCTAGAGCCTTAATAGGAGAAGTAAGTGTAAGTAACAGAGGCCAGACATTTTTCCAAACTGGAATCAAGACAATTTACTGAAAATTGGTTTCCAAAAAGTCAATTTGCTGACATTGATGAGTTATAGATAGAAGATTTTTTCCAAGTTTTAATTTCACTGTAGTCTTTTCACTTCAGCCATTTTCCTAAGCTCTTACTGATTTAATTTAGCTGGCTGCTAATCTCATGCAAGTTTTAAAATTTGGATGACCAGTAGTCCTCCTATCTTTATGTATTATTTGTGAATGGGTGGTATTTTACTTAAAAACAGTTTATAGCCTTCTGTATATTGGTGGGCTTGTATTCATACCTGAATCTGCCTTTGAATGGTTTCAACAAAGGTTCTTACAGACTTAGGATATTGATCTGACATTTTCCTCCAAATGGTCTTTGGGTAGGTTTGCCATGTAGTGAAATGACTTTGAATAAATTGATTTTTCAGTACATTAAAACCCAAAATAGTTCAAATTAACTTAGACCACTCTAAACTATGTCTTCACTTTTTAATCCCTTTAACTGAAATCTTTACATCTCTAAGTTATAAAATTAGAAACCATAACTTATTTTTTTATGGACATTTAACGACTTTTTCATTATATTTCCTCCAGTATTGGTGATGAATAGTGGTCAAAACAATTCTTAATGTTTTCTTAAAGCTTACCTTTTAATACCTTCAAGGGAAAGTATCTTAGATCTAGCATAGACTAAATAAATACTGAATTGGTATCAGGAGCTTAGATGCCAATCCCAAATCTCTTAAGTAAATTTCTTAACTCCTTATTACTCAAATGTTTACTTCTATAAAATAGAGCTAAAACATCAGCCTCTACCTTCCTTGTACATAACATAGTAAAGTAATTTGAGGTAATAAAGTAACTACTATGACCATTTAGGAGGAAAAGAGTAGATTAAGCTTCATTAATAATATTCATGAATTTATTATGTTCTAATTTGATGTTAACCTGCTCAAGAAATGGTGTGATGCACTAGGGAAAATAAAAAACTCAGCCAAGACTTTGTTCTGACCATCAGGGAGCAGTCATTTTTGTCAGATGAATAAAATAAATAAATACAAAGACAGAGCAGAGGACAATAAATGCTGAAAGAATAGAAATGAAATACATTGTTGATTCTAAGAAGACAAAGTAATGTGGGAGACATGACTGGAAGACTGAAAAGGTTTTAGCAGACAGAAAATGGAGAGGACATTGTGAAAGGAACTGCCTGAGCCAGGACATGGAGTTGAGAAACCATAGCTCCCATTCATAAACAGTGCGTTTAGGGGGAAATGGGAAATGATAGTGGAGATGCATTTGAGGTCATATTGTACAGGATTTCTGCTGTATTTGGTAGGTAATTAAACACTGGAGACTTAAAAACACATGTGAGAGACAAAATACAAAAATATAGATAATCGAACAGTGGTATTTGGCATGGAGTGTGAGACTGAGAGTACAGCCTGAAATGAAAAAAATTTCAAGTATTGGAAAGCAGAAACCTGAGAAGCAGACAGAGCCTGAAGTCACTTTCCTGGTCCTCGTCAGAAGTCAAATGACTAGTCACAGACTAGCAGTGAGCAGGGCAAAGTGCAGGCACACACATACTAGCAACGCTGTTACAGTAGGTATACTGCAATGTGTTCCATATTTTAAATGTAAGTGCTAAAGCACTTCAAAACAGAGGGATGGCCCATGGTGGCCTTAGTCAGGAAAGGCTTCATTCACATTAGCTAAAACAATCTAGGAGAGGGGAATTTAATGCTTAAAATAGAGAACAAAGAAAATAATAATATCAAAGAGAACTATTTAAGGTTGATCTGTTAGTGGGACATGAGGGCATATTTTCCTTCAGGTCCGTCTCATACTTTCTGAGATCTAAGTATGAGATCAACATGTCATTCAAGGTCTCTTATAATCTGGCTCTGGCCATCTTCTTAGCTTCATCTTTCACCATTTCTCAAGATTTTTCTCTGTAGCTTTGTGGAAACATGCAAATCACCCAAGCATTCCATAACAACCTTAGTACCTCCTTCTGTGCTTTGCCTTCTGCCTGGAGCACTTTGTCCCTCATGTCTTTTGCCTCATTAAGTTCTGCTGGTCCTCCTCTTTCCCACTCTCTCCTTCCTCCACCCTCATTTTACACTTACTCAGGGGTTCTTCTTTTTAATTCCATGCTTTTTGCAGATTTTGTGTTCTGTAGTGCAACTACCTATTTTTTAGTTTTTCATTTTTTTTTCTCCAGACCATGAACTGTTGGGAGATAAGACCATTTGATTGATCTCTGTACACACAGCAGCTAGTGCAATGAGTGACACAGAATAGGTGATCAATAAATGTTGAATAAATGAATAAATGATCAATTTAATAGAATACCTCAAGTATTTATTTAGTAATAGTTGCCTTCTCACCATTTGTATAAGTAGTAAGCAAGATACAAAAGAAACAATCCTTTATTTGATGAGTCAAAACAATTACCTGCGCATACACATATCTGGCAATATTATTATAGCAGATGTACAGTAATATGTTCCATATTTTAAGTGTACATACTAAAGGACTTCTTAACAGGGGTGGCCCATGGTGGCATTAGTATGGAAAAATTTTACATCACCTAAAGTAATCAAGGGAAGGGGGAATTAATGCTTAAAAAGGAGAGCAAAGAATCATGTCAAAGAGAACTACTTAAGGTTTATCTGCTAACGGGACATGAGGGCTTATTTTCCTTTAGGTGCCTCTTCATACTTTCTGAGATCTAAGTCAAGAAAGGAAAGGTCAAAATGGGAAAGGGAAAGCCTATTTGAAGCCATGAATCAGACATCATAGAATTGTTTTAAGCAATTTTCTTTTTTTGCCAGAAAAAGATTAAAAAAATAAATCAGTATGGGATGCCTGGGGAATATGCGATGAGAATCTTGATTATCAAATAACTAAGAATTACTCCAAGTGGCATAGTTGTAGTCATTCTTTGCTAGGGATGAAAGAGAATGATGTAAGCTTGAAGAGTAAAGCAACGTGATCTATTTTGGAAGAAATAACTGGAAAAAGTAACAAGAACTTCTGGCTTGATGTTCTAGGAATACAACTAAGCAGTCCAAAATCTTATTAAAAGAAAAAAGTGCATATTATAGAAATGAAAAGACAATGTTGCATGGGTAAAGAAACATTGTGATGTTTTAAGCTGCTTAAATAAAATAGAATATGGCAATGGAAATATGAATATGAGGCATACAAAATAGAGCTAGAAAAACCAGATGTAAAAAATTCTTTTCTGGGAGTGGATAGAAGTTAATACTGAAAAATGAAATCACTGTGAACCTGCCCTGATAAGTGAATTTGTGAATCTTATGGAATTTGTTAACTTGTGCTCACATGATCAGAATAAATTGCTTTACTTCAGGGACAAAAATGTTAATTTAAGAGAGAACATATTTATTTAGGCTTTTTACATATTTAAATAGAAAACATTAAACAAAGAGAAAATAAAAAATTAGAGATAAACAAATTTTATCCTGCCTGTGTTTTGCAGAAGCAGATTAACAGTTTCTTAAAGGGAAAAAGGAAATGTTTTTATTAATTAAAGAGGGAACAATTATTCAGAAGGATTGAAGAACAAAAGGTATGAAAAAAGGTTTTCAAGTATGTATACGATATCAATCTGATTCTTATTTTGTAACCACAAACCTTCTAGAAGGTACCACCTGTTTTAACATGCTTTTAAATTTAAATGTTGTTTTTAGCTACTAGGAGAACTAAAGGGATATTTCCAGAACTCAATTCTGATGGTGACATTATTTTGGGACATGGATTTTAAGAATTTTATACAGCAAGGGCAAAAATCCATAAAAGTAAGATAAAATATGAAAAGAAGAGAAAGGCCAGGCCAGTAGCTGTCACCTGTAATCCCAGCACTTTGGGAGGCCGAGGTGGGTGGAGTCTGAGGTCAGGAGTTTAAGACCAGGCTGACCAACATGGTGAAACCCCACCACTACTAAAAATACAAAAAATGGCTGGGCATGGTGCATGTGCCTGTAATCTCAGCTGCTTGGAAGGCTGAGGCAGGATAAATCGCTTGAACCTGGGATGTGGAGGCTATAGTACGCTGAGATTGTACCACTGCATTTCAGCCTGGGCAACAGAGCAAGTCTGTCTCAAAAAAAAAAAAAAAAAAGAGAAATAACAAAGAAAATGGACACCATAACTATGCTCAGAAAAGCACAATGAAAACAAGAGTGAAGCCCTGGGAGAAGCACTCTGGCTGGGGCCAGAATTCCCAGAGCAAGGGCTTTAGAAAACCTGCAAGGTGGTGTTAGAATCATGAGTCAATTCTTATCTGCTATCCTAATGTACATTGGCCCAGCAGGTCATAGAAAGTTTAAGCATCCTTATATTTCAATTTTTCTATTTTTAACAATGAAAAACAATTTTCTAGGGCTGACTTAGCATAAGATAATAAATCATAGTAGATAAATTTTGTATTCTTTTCTCTTAAGTTTTTGTTGTATTTTTATGTCACATGGGAGCCTTAACTTTCATGTAATACAAAAATAAAATATGTTTATTAAATATGTTCAAATTCACATATTATTTATATATCTGTAATATTACCTACAGTATATTGGGTGCTTGCTATGTGCTAGACACCATGGTAAATACTTTCTATATATGAGCTGATCTAATCCTCATAGCAGCTCTATAAGGATGGTTCTATAAATTCATCACTTTACAGATGAGTAACAGGCAGAGAAGAAGTAACTTACCTTAAGGTGAGTAAGAGATGGGCCCAAGATTTAGGCCCAGGCAGTTACATTTAGAGTTTATGATTTAGAGTTTCTGTTGAAGCTATATCATTTTTTCTTTTTGAAATATCAATCTTTGATGTACTAAATAATCTGAGAAATTCTTTTCTGATAACAAAAATATGTTGCTGTGTTAGGTACACATGAGCAAAAGGCTTGCTTTTCGCTCATGAACATTTTGTGTCTGTTTATGTTGAAGTAGCAGTAGGTCAATAAATGACAGGCAAAAACCTACTCTAGGTAGGTCTAAGTTGATAGGTTAATTGGAACCGCCCCCTCAAAAAACCCCAAACATAAGGAGCTCTGTGGCACTTTTTGGCCTAAAAGAATACATGTTGCATAATTATATTAATATTAAAGTCTAGAACAAAAAACTATGATGGTAAAAGAAATCAAGAACGGTGGTTGCTTCTAAAGGATTATTATTATGATTTTTAATTGGGTTTATTCATCACTATTCAACTTCCTATGCATCTCACTATGTTTTTTGGAAGATGTTTCATATGGGTGGCAATAAATAGACAGAAGATAAGTAGACCCTTAGAGAAAGCTTTATTGGGACTAAAATTACTTCGTTAAGCTACAACCTGAACCACTACAACTCTGTCTCTATCTGTAGGAAATCATGGAATAAACACCATAATTTACTGCTTTAGATCTTAGATCTTAACTCCTTAAGCCTCCTGGGAAAGTAAAAAAGTTTTCTCCTCAAGATCATATTCTTCTTGGGAAGCACTTTATCCTGAATATGTTGCATAGCTTTTCTTACCATGAAAATTTAATTCACATTAAAGGCTCTTTGGTGGAAACATTTTCTCTTCCTTAAATGATTGTATGGTACAATTCTCATTAACCTTTCAGTCTAAGAAGGATAGCCTTATGGATATGGCAAGCTTAATGCTTTCCTAACTACAGAACTTGATGTTCTTGCCCTGCCTTTCAAGGATATATACTCTTTGAAGGAATTCTTTGGCTAATCAAGTAGAAGACATTTCTATCTAAATCATCTGCAAATCAATGGGAATGCTCATATAAAGAGGAGGCAATACCTGGAGTTTCCATTTTGAACAGATGGAAAAACTGAGTGTCTAGGTTAGCACCTTAAGTTCCTATGAGGTTATGGAGGTAATAAAGATTCTCAACAGTGACTGAACCTAAGAGAAAGAAGAGAGAGTCCAGGGGGAAATGGTGGGACTGAAGAAGTTATTACCAGTGAGAGTCAAAATTGTCCATGTCTTCCTTCTGTTTTCAGGTCAGTCCTTAGAGGTTTTCTTTTGTTTTGTCTTTTTCACTTTTCTTATTCTAAGGACTTAATGAATTTGAATTCAATTCATTTTATAGGATGAATCATTTTACAAAAAAATCATGTCACCTTTCGATTCCTCAGTTATCTCATAGGCATATAAATTATTTAAAAATATTTAACAACTGGTATTGCACAGACACTGACCAATTAGAAGAAAATGTTATGACCTATGACCAATCAGAATCAGCATGAACCATAAATGGAATGGTTATATAATTGATTGTCCAAATCAGGACATATTTGAAAGTGAAAAGGAATATTACTAATAATTATGCAAGAAGTAAAGGCATAAACTGAGACCATCTCAAGGAAAGAGTATAACGTGTGTACTGGTTGAATAAAATAAAAAATTTGGCTTGAAGTCTTTTTTTGATTCTGTGACACCCTAATGTGCCTATTGAACATATTTAATTTAAAGAGTATTGGTATATTTATCTACAACTGGCTTCTGGAGCACATTTCTGAGAGAGTAGAGCCCTACTGAGGGAGTAGCCTTTAGATATGACTACATTAAGAGTGACAACAGGGTCTAGGTTCTATTATTCTCTAGATAAGTACAAAGATATAGATGTAGATACTGCTGTAGATATAGACATAGATAGGTTAGAGATACTAAAAAGATACTGAGTGGGTGATACTAGATAATATATCTTGAGAGTTTTCTGTATGCCAGGCTTTTTCAATTTGACAGATGAGGAAACTGAGGCGTAGGATGTGAAGTGATGTGATTGTTAGGCACATACCATATACAATTGGTATGTAATGAAGGTGGAGCATCTACATTTTAATGCTATGTGTTAGCATCTCCCAACAGCTAATGCCTTCCCTATTGCTGACACTTTGCTGTCCTGCTTACAGTCTTGTACGTGAATAGAAGACAGACAAATAAATCTAATAATTACATGTAAGAGTTGCTGTGATACATGTAGAGCAGAGATAACTAAATCATATGGGTAAGAGAAAGCTTCCTAGAGGACGATGGCTCAAAGTCAGTTTTTAAGGATGGTCAGAAAATAGTCAGTTGCAGAGGAATCTGTGCAAAGGCACTAAGTATGAACCCTGTATGATATATTTGGGAAATTATAAGTATTTTGGGGTAGTTGGAGTGATGATCTTCGAGCTCAGCTAATTTAGATAACAGCATCCATACATCTTAAGGAGTAATTTCAAAAGATTTCTAGCATGGTCATGGGGTGATTATTTTTGCATTTTAGAATGATTTTTTTTTTCTGGCAATGATGTGAAGGACAGATTGGTGAGGGGCCAAGTTCGTGGCAGAGAAATCAGTTGAGAATTAGAGAAATTTAATGGAGAATATACTACTTTGCAAATCTACCCCACTTCCCTTCCTAACTCACACAACACGAAGAGTACTAAGTAAAGAGTGGAAGAACAAGAATGGCTCTTCAAGAAATAGGTTCCTAAGTAGCGGAGAGAAAGGCTGGAAGCTGCAAAGTCAAGGAGATAGAAAAGGAGAGAAGGAGGGTGAAAGAAAGGGGGAAATGGGGAATTATGGGGGGGTAAGAGAGAGAGAGAGAGAATCCCTTTCCTTGTTTATCGCTATGAGTTGAATGTTAGTTCCTTCCAAACCTCATGATGAAATCTAGTTACTATTATAACAGTATTAAGAGGTGAGATCTTTAAGAAGTATAAAGAGAAAGCACCCACTTCTGAAATTCTTTTTTTTAATGCATTAAACCTGTCCATGAGGGTTCTGGACATATTTGGCAAAAAAAAAAAAAAAAAAAGAATTTCAGGAGTGGGTTCTTTCTCTTTACACTTCTGTTTTTGCTATGTGAGAAACAGTGTTCCTTCCCTCCAGAGGATATAGAGTTCAAGGTACCAACTTAGAAACAGAGACTGGGCCCTTAGAGATACTAAATCTGCTGGTGCCATGATCTTGGACTTCCCAGCTTCCAGAAGTGTATGAAATAAATTTATGTTATTTGTAAATTACCCATCTTTGGTATTCTGGTGTAGCAGCATGAAATGAACAAAGGCACTTACTGCCCATTATTGTGTTATTTTTTCTTTTATTTCTTTCTCTTGCTTAACTCTCTGCCCCCTGAAAGTACAGCTATGTGACACATAACAATGTTTTGGTCAAAGATGGACTGCATATACAATGATGGTCCCATAAAATTATAATGCACCTGAGAAAGTCCTATTATTGAATGACCTTGTGGCCATTGCAATGTCATAGTGCAACACATCACCCATGTGTTTGTGGTGATGCTAGTGTAAACAAACTTACTGTACTGCCAGTCATATAAAAGTGCAGCAGATGCAGTTATGTACACCTCATAGTACTTCATAATGATAATAAATGACTCTGTTATTGGTTTATGTGTTTACTATACTATTTTCATTATTTTAGAGGGTACTTCTCATACTTATAAAAGAAGCTCTTCCCTTCCCTGTGTCCATGTGTTCTCATTGTTCAGCTCCCATTTATAAGTGAGAACATATTGTATTTGATTTTCTCTTCCTGTGTTGGTTTTCTGGGGATAATGGCTTCTAGCTCCATCCGTGTCCCTGCAAAAGACATCATCTCGTTACTTTTTATGGCTGCATAGTATTCCATGGTATATATGTACCACATTTTCTTTATCCAGTCTATCAATGGTGGGCACTTGGGTTGATTCCATGGCTTTGCTATTGTGAATAGTGCTGCAATGAACATATGCATACCTATAGATTTGTAATAGTATGATTTATGTTCCTTTGGGTAGATACCCAGTGTTGGGATTGCTAGGTCAAATGGCCTGTTGAAGGTCTGGGAGGAGAGAGAGTATTAGGATAAATAGCTAATGCATGCAAGGCTTAATACCTAGGTGATCAGTTGATAGGCGCAGCAAAACACCATGTCACATGTTTTCCTATGTAACAAACCAGCACATCCTGCACATGTATCCCATAACTTAAAATAAAATAAATTTAATTTAAAAAGAAAGAATCGAAGGAAGGAAAGCCAAAAGAGTGTGTTTAAGGAAGTAAGTAGCAGATAAAAACTAAAGGATATTTTTTTTCTCTTTGTATCTAATTGGATTAAGACAGCTCCATAAACTGGCTGTGTAAACTTAAATAATGAAAACATGAACCAGGGTGGTTGCGGTAGAAATGAATAAGAGTAACACATATGAGAAGATGCTTCAAAAGAAAATGTGCTGAGATTAATGTTTCATAAACTCAGGGGATTAAACATAAGTAAAATTAAAAAGTTAACTGTAAAACAGCACCAGTCATGTTAGGAGATATTCCAGAAGAAGGCATTTTTATCAGAGAAGACAACAGCTTCACGCACATTACTGTCCCTTCAGACCTTCCAGTGAGATAAGATGTGGTGCTGGAAGATAGTATAGGCCTAGGCTCATGTATGTATTTGCATTTTACTTTTTAACAAGAAAAGTTTAAAAAACAAACAAAAAAAAATTAAAAATAGAAAACAACTTATACAGATATAAAGAAAGAAACTATTTTTGCATGGCTATATAATATGTGTGTTTTAAGCTAAGTGTTATTAAAGAGTCAAAAAGTTTTTAGAAATTAAAAAGCTTTTAAAGTAAAAAAGTTATAGTAAGCTAAGGTTAATTTGTTATTGAAGAAATACAACTAAAAAATAAATATGGCATAACTTCAGTGTACAGTGTTTATAAGTCTATAGTAATGTGTAGTAGTGTCCCAGGCCTTCACATTCACTCCCCTCATTCACTAACTCACCCAGAGCAACTTTCAGTTCTGCAGGCTCCGTTCATGATAAGTGCCTTATACAGGTATGCCATCTAAAAAATCATTAATACTGTATTTCACTGTACCTTTTTCTATGTTTAGGTATGTTTAGATACACAAATACTTATGTGTTACGGTAACCTATAGTATTTGCTACAATAACATGCTGTACATGTTTGTAGCTTGGTAGCAATAGGCTATACCATATAGCTTAGGTGTGTGGTAGGCTATGCCACCTAGGTTTGTGAAAGTGCAGTCTGCCATGTTCACATGATGAGGAGCTCGCCTAACAATACGTTTCTCAGAATGTGTCCCTATGGTGAAGTGACACATGTCAGTGCTCTCAATATTTTTTTTCTATTGCTTTCTTCACATATTTACTTTTCACATAATTGGTAAATTGAACTACCTCAGTTTAACTGAATTCTTAAAAAAGGAAGAATGCTGCAGTAAGAAAAATCAGATCCAACCAGAAAATTAAACCATAACACCAAATCTGTTTTCACTGAATTGATAACTACTTTTTATTCCTTTTACTCTTGGGCTTTGGCATCCATCTTGTCATTGAGGAAGGTGGTGGGTGAAAATGAGGCAGTGTAAGTAAAGATCCTGTTCATTTGGGTGGTCTGTCCTTTATTTGGTTTAATTATTTATTTAAATCCAGACCGTGATTCAACATTGTGTGTGTGAAATGATTCACAGGGATCAGGCTGAAGGCACATTTGCCCTTGGCTGTGCTTGATGAAAGCTTGTTTCTTTCCGTAATGCTAGGTAAACTTTCTTCTCTGACTCCTGTTGCTTAAGGTTTTATCTTTCTATTATATTTCTATCTTTGCTCCCTGTTTAATGTAAGCAAAATGACCACCTGTTCCTTAGCCAAGCCAGGCTGTTCTCTTTAGCAGAGGAAGGAAAAGAGTCCATTTTTTTAAGAAGACAAAAGCCTTTACCGTAAATGTAGTGGAAATAGAATGCTTTTTACTTAGGTTAAAGATGAAGGTACCTGCAGAAAAACAAATATTGAGTTTTCTCACTTATATGTTGAAGCTTAAAAAGGTTTATCTTATAAAGGCATAGAGTAGTAGATGGTAGATACCAGAGACTAGAAGGGATGTGAAGGTGGGGGTTGGAGATAAAGAGAATTTGATTAATGGGTACAAACATGCAGTTAGATATAAGAAATAGGTTAAAATAAGTTAGATACAAGAAATAAATTAAAATATTCTGCTATGTTTGATAGCAGAGTAGGATGACTATAGTTAACAAAAAAGTATGGTATATTTCAAAATGGCTAGAAGAGAGAATTTGAAATATTCCCAACGTATAGAAATGTTAACTACTCAAGGTGATGGATATCCCAAATAACCTGATTTACTTTATTATTGCATATTTTATGTATATAATAAAATATCACATATGACCCATAAATATGTACAAATATTATGTATCAATATAAAGAAGATAAAGGCACCTGGAAAAAGATCAGCATTTGCAAAAGTTTAGTATATTTTAATGCATCTCCTTTTTCCTTTGTTTGAGAGGGTGGTGTTCAAAAGCAGCACTTAACTGTGTCATCAGAAAGACAAACAGAATCAGAATTTTAGAGTTAGAGGACTTTAAAAAATATTTTCTACTCTGACCTTTTCACTTTATGGATAAACAACTGAAGAAAAGAAACTGTAAATGAATTAACATGGATGTAAAATATCTTCTCAAATATATTAATAAGTGTGAAACTTTTTATCAATACCACATCTCATATATTGGGTATTAGGGGTAATATATTAGAAGGTAGCTTTCAGTTAAACTTACAAAGTATTGTTTCTGTCTTCAATGTAATTATTAAACAATATGTCAATTTTTTTCTAAAGGGACACACATTCACAGATTTGTTAAATTTGTAATAAAATATAATTTATAAATGATTTACACCAATCTTTTTAGGAATGCACTAATGGTAGTGAAGGAGGACTAGAGGGAATGTTAAGGGGAAATTAAAAGATTAAAAAAAGAGTTGTGATGGAAACAAGAGAGAAAGAGAATGAAGGATAGAGAAAGAAGAGAAAAAAAGACTTCAGAAAGTGATCAGGAAACAGCAGTTTTACATGTTCATTTGTACATGTGTTTTTCTAATGGTAAAATTAGTATTGTTCCATGTGATCTAATTCATTCTATTAATTAAATATAATGATTTAAGACATCAGATATAGAGAGTGGAAACATTTTATATTTTTCCAGCCAAATCAAATCCACTTTTTAACTCATTTTGAGGTTGACCCCCTATACGCATTAATTTTGGCCACTGCTAGTGTCACAGGAATCACCAAAACCTCTGGTTTAAAGACAAAAAGAGAGAGAAAAGGAGAGAGAGATCTAAATGTTTTAAATTAATGCAAATTCAAATTTGAAAACGATCTTTTTGAATTATGAGTATAGACTAGTATTTTCAGCCTTTCCTCTTATTATATGTTTAGGTTAACATTCAGTAGACCAAAACAAAATCTACTTAAGTGTTGGAAAGATTTCTCAAAGCAAAAAAATTTTTTAACAATTAGAAAATAAGCCCAGCTTTTTTGTTGATGTTTACGCTCAAAATATTCCACCATAAGGTAGAAAAGAGGTATGAGGTATTTTTCCATGATGGACTAAAAAACTTTAGCATAAGATTATTCTGCAAGAAGCCTCTAAAGAATAGAAATACTGACAAAACAGCATATGTAAGTACCATATATGAATAACTCATCCAGAACAATTTAGTTCAACTCAGGCATTTATAAGATAAATGTTATCCATTTTCAGCCAAAAATATTTTAACCATGTAACTTTACAACACACAGAAAAAATACACATAAAATGAAAAATGTGTTTTTGCAATGAATCTGCCACTGATATGATATGAGCATGCAATTAAATGGGCCATGCTGGAGAAAGGAAAGATTGGCTTCTGGGTCATAGCCAGTGATATCCTTTGACGCTTCCCGGCCTCATGTGTTACTGATCAGGCAGCTGGGGCTCTGGCAAATACAAATCAGGAGGGTAGAAAATAGAACAGATCTCACTCTCAGTTATGGGATTCAGAGGGAATTGGACATGGAACACACACTTGATCTGTTGTCAAATATTTCATTTCAAAGCTGAACACTAAATTACAGCGTAGAATTAGATTACTTTTAAATATTTTTTTTCTTATTTGCGTATTCTGAACTTCATAGTGACATTTCATGATTGTATAATATAAGAAATATTGAACTGAAAGACAAAATATCTAACCAGGTGTGGCTAGCTATGTGACTGTGAGCTAGTCATTTGACCACTCTAGCTCTCTGTTTCCTTGTCTAGAAAATAAAATGATTGGTCCAGAAGATTATATATTGTATTGAGTGACCCTTGAGTAAATCTGGTTTGTATATGTGTTTTTGTCCTTTACAATATTTTAAGATGTTTTAACTAGTTACCAATTTGAAAAATCAGGAGATTTCACTAAAATATAGATTTCTGACTTCTCTTGAAAAATGGGAATATCTTGTAACTCAGAACTCAGAATTCTGCAAAGCAGCAATGTAACAATATAGAGTGCAGCAGACCCTGTTAGACCTACCTGGGAATGTTCTCTTTAGATTGTCCTGCTGCCAGTCACAGGTCCCACCCAACTTGCTGCATTTATTCACTTTACCTGCCTGACCCTTTAAGACATTTTCCTAACCTCGTCTTGAATAGTGTTTCTAAATGTGTTTTATAGAGTTCTAGTCATTAGAGAAACCTCATGGGGAATGAAGAAACTATGGATAGTTTTTTATTTTTACTTTTTATTTGTTTTATGTATTAAGATCTAAAACAATCTCTAGGGCACAGATTTTTACTTATCCTCTAAGTCATCTTATGCCCTTCTTTCATAGCCACATAACTGTTTGTAATAAACAATACAACTCACAGCCTACTTTGCATCCTTTGCATTATATCCCTTCAACTGTGGGATATGAGCTAAAGTGATAACGTTCGATATTTAGAGTGTGCCTGATATGGGAATGAGATGATAAGCAATCTTGGATTTTATGGACTAGTGATGCAGATTGATATGAAAGGATCCTGGGTCCCTGGATGACTGAATGGAGGGCAATATCCTTGTTAGCAAAGTTTGCCTTCTTCTGCAGTATTGCACAAGAGAAAACTTATCATTCTTCTTGCTTAAAGCAATGTTAATTTGAGTCCTTATTAC